TATTACGACTTCTGTTTTCGTACAATTCTGTTCTGATATGATCTTAATTTCTGATTTCTGTATGATTCTGACTCTGTTGATTTATTCTGTTCTGATTGGTATTTTGATGTGATCTGATCTGTTTCGTTCTGATATGTCCGATTTGATATCTGTACGATTCTGTTCCGATTTCTGATCTGATTTCTGTCTGATGAGTTTGGTTTTGGATTCTGAGAGTTTTGATTGGAGGTTTGTTGCTTTGCTGAGCTGTTGAGCTCACTCTTGTTTTCTGGTGGTTTTCAGGTTCTGGGAAAGAGAAGGAAGTCCAGAAATAGATTTAGAGTCTGATCAGTATAGGTATTTGTTTGTACCTTTTGATTTTTGTACAGTCATGGCTTTTCTGTTCTGTCTTTCTTTCTGTTCAAAAGCCATGTACTGTATTTGTAGATGATTATTTTGAGGAAAAGAGAGAAAAATATAGATGTTTGTCCCGCTGCATTTGGTGACTTATAGTAGCTCTGTTGTTCTGTGTTTGTGTGTTGTTTTGAGTTAAATATTTGGAAGATTCAGTTCAGTAACCAAATTCCAAAGCCAGATCCTGGATAAAAGGTTTTGTCGCGGCCCGGTGCGAGCGGAATCCGACCCGGATCAGGTCGGGTCGTGACACCTCCCTTCCCTGACACAAACCGAATCTCAAAGGATTCTGGTCCCTTATAACTCCCTTCTTACATCATTCAATTTGAATCATATCAAACATCAAATTATATCAGATTCAGAGAAATCAGACATATATCAAAATGTCGTTAGAAAGTATGACAATAGACAACAATAAATTCACAGTTTCAAAAATTTACCAAATTACCAGAAATCGTGTAAAACATTATTTCAAAGCTTTTATTGTACTAAAGTAATATTTTTTAACATTCGGATAATTTTTTATTCGATAAAAACTTCGCATAATTCAAAATACCAAGTGCAAAATTTCTAAAAAATACTCAAAACATGTAAAATCATAATCAATGACATACCAAAAGTTACGCGGTAAAAATTTTACCTGTGCAAAGATATACCTGTTTTTCGCTAATAGAAAATAAATTTGAAACAAAAAATCCATCAAAACTCACATTTCTGAAAATTAAGAAAGGCATAATATGCCTTACCTCGAGTCGATCAATTTTCCCAACTATGGCGACGGACTAAAAACGGACTGAAGACGTCCAAAATGTGGATTTCTTTCTCTTTTCTTCATTTTCTCTCCCCTCTTTCTCTCTCTTCAAAACAAAACAAATCGTGCTTAAAAAGATATTTACGATCGTCCGGACGATATTTTTCGTTCGTCCTGGGACGATCTCCTCTATATACTGATCATACAGACGATAATTGATTTTCGTCCGAGGATAATGGGCTATGTCAAAAAAATTTGTTCAGTTCGTCTAGACGAACTTACGGTTCATACAGACAAACCTGCATTTTATTGAGTTTGTATATGCAGTTCGTACAGACTAACCATACAGATTTTCAAAACTTTCTTCAGTTCGTACAGATGGTTCGTACGTACTAACTGCACACAATTTTTTTTTTCAACAATAACTTAAAAGTTTAAGGGTTTCACAATCTACCCACCTTAAAAAAAATGTCATCCTCGACATTTCCAAAGCAAAATTGAGTCAGAATAGACTTGGATACAACTGTATCATATCCGATTCCTTCTCCCAAGTAGCCTCTCTTACCATTCTGAACTTCCATTGTACCTTAACCATAGAAATCTATTTGCTTCTCATCTTTCGCACATCATAAGTCAAAATCCTTTCAAGTTCTTCTTTGTACTAGAGATTCGCCTGAACCTCCACATCGTCAGTAGAAAGTTTCTTTCCATAATCAGATATCCACTTTCTTAAAGAGGATATGTGAAACACATTGTGTATATGAGATATCTGATCAGGCAATAAGAATCTATAAGTAGAATTACCAACCCTTTCAATAATCTCAAAAGGCCCGACATACCTTGGACTAAGCTTGCTTACTCTTCCAAATCTGTTAACACCTTTCATCGGACTGACTTTGACATACACAAAGTCACCAACCTAAAGTTCAGCCAATATGTGCTTCTGATTGTAATACTTCTTCTATATATCTTATGCAGATTTTAACCTTCCTTTAATCAGATTGATCCTCATCACAGTATCTTCCATAAAAGTTGAACCGATCACTTATCTATCTCCCACCTCTGTCAAAGTCAAAGGAGCTACATTTTTTGCCATACAAAGCTTCATAAGGTGCCATACCAATACTAAACTAATAACTATTGTTATATGTAAATTATATCAATGGAATATGATCTTTCCAACTACCTCTAAAATATAAAACACACAATCTCAAAAGATCTTCCAGTACTTGATTAGTCCTTTCAGACTGTCCATCAGTCTGCGGATGAAAAGCTATACTGAAAATGCAACCTCGTACCCAATCGTTGCTGAATTCCTCTCCATAATCTAGAGGTAAACCGGCCATCCCGATCCGATACAATCACTTTTGGTACACTG